GTTAACCACAAGAGACACTGCACAGAATTTGGAAGATAGAAGCAAGCAGCGGCCATTGTGCTCTGAAGGTCAATGTGGAGCTCCAGGCAGCAGCAAAGCTTGCCAAGCTGTGCTGATACCTTGGCTTATCTTGGTGTGGGACAGCCCCCAAGCCCTCATCTCCTTTATCTGCTGTGAGTCCTGGTCCAGGTAAGGGAGCAGTTCTGTGGTAAAGCCACCAGCTTCTCCTGCATACCACCCAGATCCAAAAAGTTGGAGGCTTTGAAAGACAGATGTAGCTCCTCTTTATCCTAATGAGTTGCAGCTTTTCTTGAAGTTGCCAGATTTTATGGATTTCCCCTGGTTCCCGTCAGCTTTATTTCTTTCCTCCTGACTCTCCTCCTTTACAATAACTCTAGGGCCACTTCCAGACTAGAAAGAGTTCTTCACTGGCTCCCACAAATTGGCCAAAGTCTAATCTTTATAATAAGTCACTTATTCTGCATCACACCTAGTGGTTCAGCCTCCCTGATGGGACCATGACTGTGAAATATGTCTTTTAATGGTCATGGTAGACAGATTATTTCTGAATCTTTCTGATAGTGTATTTTTGAAGCAAACTATAACCTATCTCTGTTAAATTGCAAGTTAAACAATCATTTTTCCCCTTGCTTATAAGTGAATGATTTCAAAAGCTAGTATAACCTCTTGAAAGCTCATTTTAGCAAACAACTGCATCAAACTTATTAAGAGTCATGTTATGATTTCCATGCTTAAATTTACATTCTTAAGGTCAAAATATGAGGTTATATTATTCACTGGCTCTTGACTATAAACCTCATGTAAGTCATTCAAATTAATTTGCATAGGATCAATTCTAATCTTTGCTATTGAGTGTTTTGTGCTTTGTATTAATTAAGGTGATTTGGCTTGCAAAACCTCCATTTACTTATGCCTCTACTCAGTTTCTGCATTACTAACAATTACCATGCCTTTAATACTATAAGAAATGTATTAACTCTACATCTAAGTTGACTTTAAAATATTTAAAATTTATGTAATGGATCAATATGTTTTATTTTATCCTTCCAGGTTATACAGAAGTAGTTTAATATCTCATTTGAGATTTTCTTGGATTATCCATGCCCATGAACCTGTATAATGTCAGGCAACAGACCTGATCAGGATCACCTATTATCTGAAAAGACATAAGAAATAGAACTAGAATGCATCTCTTATGTGCTTCCCTTTCTTCCACTTTTACTCTTTGTTTATATTTTATGATTCCTCATTTTTTAGGAGAAATCTAGATGTAACCCTGATAACAGAGGCCCATTAACCTGGTAATAGTAAGAACTGGTAAAGGAGTCAGAAATATAACAGCTTAATTTGTGTTATCTTTAATATTTAGAACCCTTCTCCATGCCTTAATTTAATACTCATGAGAAACTTGTGCAAAGAAAATACTATTAACCTTATTTGAAATATGAAGTTATTAAAACTCAGTGATTTTTAATAACTAAGTCACAGAGCAAAGAAGTGATTGAACAAAGATTTGAACTCTGATTCATCAATTTTGACTATGTTGTATATTCAAATGTTTTAAAATAGTGGAAAGCAAACGGTATAATGGGAAGAGCATCTATTTTAAAGTTTTCTGGCACTCTTTTTTAATCATACATCTGTGATCTTAACCAAAGTCTTGTCACTTTGACCAAATAAAGTCACTTAATTTTTATGACCTACTTTTCTTGATTTATAAATGACTCATAATATTTAACTTGTGATTTTTAAAAAATATATTTTATTGATTTTTTTTACAGAGAGGAAGGGAGAGGGATAGAGAGTTAGAAACATCGATGAGAGAGAAACATTGATCAGCTGCCTCCTGCACAACCCCTCCTGCCCGCAACCAACGTACATGCCCTTGACCGGAATCAAACCTGGGACCCTTCAGTCCGCAGGCTGACACTCTATCCACAAAGCCAAACCAGTTAGGGCTTAACTTGTGATTTTATTATGAAAACTCTCCCAGCATGTTTTGTAGTAGAAAATCATTGCTTATCAAGTTTGTGGATGGTTAAAATGTGATTATTGGTTTCGTAATGAATATTTTGTCTTTGAGTATTTAGATCTGAAATGTTTGCATCCCTAAGTAATTATGCCATTTTTAAAGGTATTTTTTTTTATCCTTAAGGGCACGTATCTGATATTATAGGATAGTGGTTCTCAAATTTTAGCATGTGCTGGAATAACCTGGGGAACTTGATAAAACAGAAGTTGTTTCACTACAGAGTCTATGATTTAGTAACTCTGGAGTGGGATCCAAGAAATTACATTTCTGGAAACTTCTCAATTGATAATGGTATCACTGGCTCAAAGAGCACACTTTGAGAACCTTCATTATTGGGGATAATATTGAAGAAAATAGAATATAATGAAGAGAACGCTATTATTTTTTTTTTTAAAAAAAGCATAAAAATAAGAGTCACTTGACTGAATATGTATTTTTATAAAATATATTTTATTGATTTTTTACAGAGCGGAAGGGAGAGAGATAGAGAGTTAGAAACATCGATGAGAGAGAAACATCGATCAGCTACCTCCTGCACATCTCTTACTGGGGATGTGCCCGCAACCCAGGTACATGCCCTTGACCGGAATCAAACCCGGGACCTTTCGGTTCGCAGGCCGACGCTCTATCCACTGAGCCAAACCGGTTTCGGCTGAATATGTATTTTTAAACATACGTTTTTTTATTAGAACCATTTTAGATTTACACAAAATTGAGAATCTAGTACAGAGTTATCATATACTGTATTAAGATGCTACATTGTTATAATTAAGAAACCAATATTGATACATTACTATTAACTTAGGTTCATAGTTTATTTAGAGTTTCCTATTTTTTACTGAAGTCTTTTTTCAGTTCCAGAATACCACACTTAATTGTTTGTTTTTTGGTCCTTTTTAAAAATTTTTGTTTGTTGTTTGACACTTTCTTATTTTCTAGCACTAGAAATTGCTCTAGACTCATCTTGTATTGTTTCATTCCCTAATCCTAGAATCAGGTATTTCTTCAAAGATCCCTAGTTACTTTTATTGGGGAGTGGCATTAGGAACCAATGTCTGGGGACTATGTGTGCTCATTGCTACTGAGGTGTTTCTTTTAGACAAGCTCATCTGACATATGCATTTATATGAACTGTATTTATGCATATCTTATTTTAGGCAGCCATCACAAAATACCAAATACTAGGTGACTTAAAAACTGAGATTTGTTTCCCAAAGTTCTGGAGGCTAGAAGTTTGAGATCAGATGCAAACTTGGTTAGTTTTGGTAAAGGCTCTCTTCCTATTTTGAAGGGTTCCCACTATGTCTTCTCATGGCCTTTATTCAGTGTGTACACATGGAGAAAGAGAGAGAAGGCCACTAATTCCATCACAGTGGACTTACTCTTATAAGATAATACAACCCTAATTACTTCCCAAAAGCCCCATCTTCAAATCTATACTAATAAAAGGGTAATGTGCTAATTAGACTGGATAGTCCGGATGTCTTCTTGACATCCTTCTGGACAAAGCCACGGCGGCGGGGGCTGAGGCAGAGGCAGTTAGGAGCAATGAGGCTGGCAAGGGAGAGCAGTTAGGAGCAATGAGGCCAGCAGGGGAGAGTGGTTAGGGGTGATGAAGCAGGCAGGCAAGCGGTTAGGGGCAATCAGGCAGGCAGGGGAACAGTTAGGGGCAATCAGGTAGGCAGGCAGTGTTGTTAGGGGCGATCAGGCAGGTAGGCATGGTGGTCAGGGGTGATCAGCCAGGCAGGCGAGTGGTTAGGGACAATCAAGCAGGCAGGTTAGCGAGCAGTTAGAAGCCAGACGTCCCAGATTGCGAGAGGGATGTCCGACTGCCAGTTTAGGCCCTATCCATGGGATCAGGCCTAAATCGGCAGTTGGAATCCCCTGAGGGGTCCTGGATTGCAAGAGGGTGCAGGCCAGAGTGAGGGACACCCCCCACGCCCGTGCATGAATTTCGTGCACCAGACCTCTAGTATTATCATATTAGGGCTTAGGACTTCAACATGTGAATTTCAGGGAGGACATAAATATGTATGGGAATGGATACTAAATGTGTGGGATAATAGTGAGAGGACCATAAAAGTGGCTTAGGCTGAATTTATTGATATGGGCAGAGATTCACTAATATTAAATGCAGAATCACTAAGCAGAGATTCTTCACTTAATCTTAAAGCTCAGGGTGTTAGAAAGAGCTCTCACAGTTTGGTTTTTTTTGGTCAGTTAGCTGAGACATGGGCCAAAAAGTGGCTCACAGCAAGTTAGCTGGAAATGCTGGACCTGCCTTAATTAATGTAAATGACAGGATCCAAAAGCTTAGGAAGATTGAAATGTTTGAGTGGATTTGTCATTTAATATATACCCACCAACACTGGAAGTGTCCAGAAGACATACCTTTCCCCAATGCTGAGAGATAAATGTGTGAGGGGAGTTTCAGCATCTCTAAAGAGCTCTGTGATTGTCCTCTGTGGCCGGAATTTACAGCGGGAGCTGTAATCACTGAACTGGGAAATCAAAATGCAGTAGGAATAGTTGGATCCCAGGATGAAGGTGGCCAAGTGGCCACTCTCAACCACCAGATGCAAGGTTGGCATGGTTACCGTAATGGGCAGTGTTGGGGGCCAGATGTAAGCTGGCAAGGTCCTTGCACCTGCAGGGGCTAGCAAGGCTGGGACCCTTACCCACACAGTTTTCCCAGACTTGTTTGGATAGCGATTATCAGTAGAATGGGAGTAACATTTGTAGAATGAGAACAGCCTTTCATAGCTTGCCCAGAAGTCTGTAACTATTTACTGAGATATGCTGTACTGAGAACTTGTCCTTCTGCTATGTCTCTCCCTTAGAGATTAAGAGGAACAAAGAATACATTCCTCTTGACAGACCTCCTATTCAGTGTGTTGTATATAAATAGGATTGTATAGCTAATAAATTCGCTTCAGTTCATCAAGAGAACTGGGGTCCTCCCGACCCCGCTTTCCTGTCTTTCTTTCTTTTCTCAATTCCCACCTCCCTGCCTCAGCCCGGCTCAACCCTGTCAGGCTGGCCCTGGCAGATCTGGCGCCCGAGCTAAGGGACTGAGGAACTGGGAAAAAGACGGTGAGGAACTCCGTCGGGCTTGGAGAGACGACGTGAGGATCTCCTCCGGATAAAGAGTGCACTCGTTAAGGTAACGGAGGAGCAATTTTTTGATAATCGGGAGTAAAGCATGGGGCAATTAGAATCTAGAGAAAATGCCCTTTATGGGCAAATGTTAAAGTTTATGTTCAATAGTAGAGGAACTAAGGTTAATGACAAGCAAGTAGAAAATTTTTTAAAATTCATTCAGGAGGTCTGCATTTCCTTATCGAATTTAATACGGGATTATTTAGATCCCACGCATGACCATAATCAACCGTCTCTTAAGCCAGAAAAAAAGGAGAAGCAGCGTGATAGCACAAAACAGGGGTCTAAAAAAGACAGTATATTAAAAAGAAATAATGTAACTTTTAAAGACAATTCAACTCCTCAATATGAGGAGGATTTTGAGGAAGCTGCTGCTCTCTGTCATGATGATAATACAGGTATTGTTCAGGCAGAAGAGGAGGAAGAATGTTTTTCTGCTGGAACTGAAGAGGGCAGTGATATAGAGGATGTGTTGGAATCCTTTTTAGAAACATTAAAGCTTCTTGGCAAGAAAAAGAGAAGCCGCGGGGGCCGTTCCCGCCGCTCTCCGCTGCCTTGTGCAGCACCAGTTCCACTTTCCCCTCTCCAGATGGCCTTGCAGGAGGCACGAAAGTGTGGTGAGGAATTGGGCATTCATGCCTTCCCTGTTATGGAACAGGTGAATCCTCACACGGGACAGCGTGAGCGTGCTTATGACCCGCTTCCTTTTAAAACCTTAAAAGAGTTAAAAACAGCCTGTGCTCAGTATGGGCCCACTTCCCCTTATACTTTAACCACCTTGGAAACGATGGCCTCAGAGGCTCTCCCACCTAATGATTGGAGAGCTATTGCCAAGGCCTGTTTATCAGGAGGGGATTATCTCTTGTGGAAATCAGAATATGATGAAAAGGCTAAGGAACAAGCTTCTCGTAATCGAGCGGCCCAGGTTAATATTTCTTATGAAATGCTGGTAGGTGAAGGAGTCTATGCTGATACCCACAATCAAATTCAATACCCCCAGGAAGCTTATGGACAGATTAATGGAGCTGGGGTCAGAGCCTGGAAAAAGTTACCCACCTCTGGTCAGAAAACAGAGGAGCTCTCAAAAATTATTCAAGGGCCAGATGAAAAGTATCAGGATTTTGTCTCTCGGCTATTACAGGCTGTTGGCCGAGTAGTGGTGGATGGAGAGGCTGGCATGCTAATAGTTAAACAGTTGGCATATGAAAACGCCAACACTGCCTGCCAAGCTGCACTTCGGCCCTATCAAAGACAGGGGACTCTCTCAGATTATATCCGCATTTGCGCAGATATTGGTCCCTCATATATACAAGGAGTTGCCATTGCGGCTGCATTAAAGGGAACCACCATTGAAGGAATTCTTCAGCAACAATTTAGCACAGGGAAAAGTCAAACATACAAGTGTTACACTTGTGGAGGAACAGGACACATGGCAAAACAGTGTCCTTCTAATAAAGGGATTAATAAAGGAAATGGCAGAGGTCCCAAACAACCTGGACTATGCCCTAAATGTAAAAAAGGAAAACATTGGGCTAATGAGTATAAATCTAAGACAGATATCCAGGGAAATTCTTTGCCTCAACACCAGTGGAGAAACTACCAAAAGGGGCCAGCCCACCCACAGCAAATAACAGGGGCATTGTCTATTTACCCTCCTGTCCTTATGCCTTCTCAAGGCCAGCAGGCTGCACAGCACTCAGCCCGCCCCAGCGAGCAAAATAGATACAAGAACTATTCTGAGCAACCCCCGGGAGTGCCGGGCTGGACCTTGGATCCATAGGAATAAGACATTCTGTCTGCCCTGGGTGCTGCCCTTGCCTGCTGAAATAAACAAAATATCATTAGATTTTAAACCTCCCACATAGAGAAGAAATGATGATTTCCTTGCATCTCTGATACAGCTACAGCAAATGCCACCAGATCTGAAATTTAAAAATACGTCTGGGATTTCTGTACACGTGTAAAGAGAAAACTGGCTTGGAGCTAAGGCGCGCAACGTCCAATTTTGGACATTTAGATAGAGTTTTAAGCTAAAATCTCTTTACAAATATACAAAATAAAACCCAAGACTGATTATTTCCTAATAAAAATAGCAAAATTTGACCTAAAGGAAAAAAGATGCTGTCTAGATTCTAGCAGCAGAATTGGCATTTCCATAATAGAGAACAGTTTTTAAATACTAATAAAGAATATTAAAAAGTTAATTTCAAGGCTGAAAAGGAAATTCAGTAAAATTGTCTCTGTTACAAAAATTTGCTAAAGAATATGCCTTAAAATAATAAATTGGATTTAAATCTCAAGAATTATTAAAATATACTAATTATAAAAATCTAAGTAGCCCAGGTAAAAGATGGCTACGCCCTTTAATTAAAGCTGGCTTCCCAAAGCAGTTTCTAATAGAGGAAGGGCTAGCCTCCCTTCCCCCAACAGAGCAAGTAGGCAAAAAATTTCCTGCCAGTGACAACTTTTAAAGAGAGGCTTGCTTCCCAGTTTCCCATCCTTGGTAGAAAGAATATAATTTACATTTTAATGGTTACCTGTTTTCAGTCAATGGCACCCCAAGGCTTAGGAATTTGCTAAATTATATTAGATATTCTGAAATAACAAAATGCTAAAATATTAATCTAAATTTCCTTCACAAAAAATCTAGAGGACAGAATTAAATCTATTAATTATGTCTTGTATTTTTAAAGTATGTTTTTTAAAAATGTTACTGATTTAAAAATACTAAATATTTAACTTGCCAGCTAAGAGTTTAAAGTTCTGGTTACATAAATTGGGAGAAATCATATAATCATAATAAAATTTCAACATTTATCTAATTGAAAAAAGAGGATAAATTCTATAATCCCAACCAAAATTTTTAAGTACAAAGATCAGTTTTAATTTAATTGATATCTCTTAATAATTATAAAAGGCATATAATCTTTAAATTATATATATACATATATATTTAATAGTCTTTTAAGTTAGATTTCAAAACTATAATCAAGGAATGACTTTAGGACATTTCATGGGCCCTGAAATGTTTTCAAAAGTTTATTCTCTTTTCTTAAAAGATTTTTTAATAAAGCCAATTTAATATACTTGAAATCACATAGAAAGCTTTATCAGATAAATATTAATAAATATATATTTTAAGTTTTTGCCTCTAAGAAAGGGCAAAACAAGTTATCTTATTTAATATTTTTTAAAATACAGCAGTAGAATTTTAAGATATAATTTAAAATAACAAAAGCTCATTAATAATTTTTAATATTTTACAACAACATATTAACATTTATTCCAAACAAGCTTAAAAACTAATTGTTTGGCAGCAATTTAATAAGAACATAAAAGGATTTTATCCCTTCCACTGTGTGGAAGGCCCCCTGGGAAGGCACTTAAGCATTCTATATTGACCTCTCTTGACCCTTTTTACCAAAGGGGTCTGTCTTCCAATTGCCCACAGCTGTTACCTAAGCTCTCTGTTCATACTGAGGTTGAAGCCTCATGGTGGCTGGTACCATGGATCTGTCTCTTGCCCAATGGCGTAAGCTGGGCCCTCTCTGGAGAAGAAATCTGGGTTCCCCATGATCAATGCAGGGCCCCTGCCAGCAGGCGAGGGGATCCAAAGGCAGTTACTGGGCATGGAGGCCACAGGGGCATATGCTACCAAGGACACAAAACTAAACCTCACATCACCCTGCTTGGCCCCGGAGGATGGCTGGTTAGTCAACGACGGGTAAGACCCCTCTGAGAGGGGCAACCTAAGACAGGCACAGTCGCAGGGGGCCTCAGGGAGAACTTGGGGGTCAACAGAGGTGGGGCAGAGATCCTCACCCCCCCAACTATGCAGGGGCTTGAACACTCGACCCTTCTGAGGGAGGTCTCCTGTCCCCATGTCTGCTGCGCTTCCCATGCCCAGCTCAGATCGGGACCCAGATAACAGAAAGAGACTTAGCCCAGCCGAGATTGATACCCAGATAACAGAGACTTAGCTAACAGCAACTACCCTATATATAAATCTAGCTTAACACCAGGAATGCTCAGGGCCTTCTCAAGGATGCAAAATAATCCTTTCCATTAATATTTACAATATAAACTAAGATTGTTATTAAAGTATTAAATTTAACAGTAAAATAGTAGTCAAGTTTTCAGATTAATTAAATTTTACTAATTAATATAAGTAATTATTCATAAAGTATTAGCCAAAATTTTCATTTCATGGACAAATTGCTTAACATACTATAAACCTAAAGCAGTCATATTTTTATACAAAAATTAAAATTAAAAGTTATCAAGACTACACTAAAAAATTTCTAAAAACCTCCTAATATTAAAAAATAAAAAAGGGGGGATAGTGGAATAATAACCTTTTAAGTAAATGCCTTAATTGCTTTAATATTTTTACTTGAAAATTAATTTTTTCATTTATAATGCTAATAGCAAGACGCCCATGAAAAACATACGTGGTGTCAAAATAAGCCAAAGGAAAATCGTTTGGACAAAAATTAAAAGAATCCCAAGTCTAAATTATACATATGATTCCTTTATTAACCTTTGGTCGAGAATACATTTGTATATTTTCAGAAAACAACTCCAAGACCATGTGGATTCCTGCAACAGAGAGGAATTATCAGGACTGCTCCAGCCACAGAATAGCAGTGGCCTCATGAGACAACGAGAAGAGAAGCAGTCCAGAAATAAAGACGGTGAAGACGCCTTATCATGCTAGCAGTCAGCAGCTGTGCATCGCTGCAAGTTGCCCGGGACCAAACCAGAGAGGGTTGGACCTGCATTGCCACCATTTGTCCACCATCCAGAACTGAAATATTACTGCTGACATGTACACATAAAAAACTGTCGGACACTGAAGCATGAACTTCGCCTAAAAAACAAAGAAGGGGGATCTGTTGGGGGCCAGATGTAAGCTGGCAAGGTCCTTGCACCTGCAGGGGCTAGCAAGGCTGGGACCCTTACCCACACAGTTTTCCCAGACTTGTTTGGATAGCGATTATCAGTAGAATGGGAGTAACATTTGTAGAATGAGAACAGCCTTTCATAGCTTGCCCAGAAGTCTGTAACTATTTACTGAGATATGCTGTACTGAGAACTTGTCCTTCTGCTATGTCTCTCCCTTAGAGATTAAGAGGAACAAAGAATACATTCCTCTTGACAGACCTCCTATTCAGTGTGTTGTATATAAATAGGATTGTATAGCTAATAAATTCGCTTCAGTTCATCAAGAGAACTGGGGTCCTCCCGACCCCGCTTTCCTGTCTTTCTTTCTTTTCTCAATTCCCACCTCCCTGCCTCAGCCCGGCTCAACCCTGTCAGGCTGGCCCTGACAGGGCAGTCGTGTCAAAGCAGCAATCAGAATAGTCTTATCTTTTCAGACCTGTGATGTTGGCGAGCTGATTATGTGTTCCTAAATGTGAAATAGGTAGGAAGGCTACTAAATTCTTATCCAGTCTATATAGGCAGAAAAGTTCTAAATCAAGTGAATAAAAGTCTAATCTGGATAATAAAAACAGAGAGCCATGAGCCCTCAATCAATTCCCAAATTTGAGCCACGTTAAAGACCCAGAAACCTTTGAACCAAGGGAAGGCTGTGTCCCCTTGAGGAAGAGCCCTGGTACACTGCCAAATTTTTGTAATTAATCTTTTTATCAGTCTTCTTCAAATAGATAAACACCTATGGAATAAGCAGTGAACAGAACATATTTGCCAAATATTTAATAGCAGGATATTTCTCAATTGCTGTTTTGATGAAGTTAGTAAACTCAATATGATCTTGGGTATGAGGGCTTCAATGCCACAGCATTAAAGTTGTAGTAATGAGTCATTCAGTCTTTCCAGTTTTAAGAACAGATAAAATGAGGCTTTCACATGGAAAAGGAATAGGAGAACCATTCATTAATAAGCCTTACATATGATATGTTTGGATCTTTAAAGGCCAAGTTTTAACTTACAATGGGCCATATTAACTATTTTAACTGGGAGTCTGAGACTTTCCACACACCCCAAAAACTTTTTCAATATTCATATTGTAAGAAGTAGATAATTAATTATGGCTCTCCCTTTCATATCCTATAGGACACTAAAGTTAGTATTTTAGGGCCATTTCCAAAGATAATGATCAACTATAAAGAAGAAAGTTAGAAAGCTCTATGTAGTTAGTTAAAATCATGTTTGAAGGAAATAATGGAATCAATACCATATCCCACGACAATGAAATCAGACAACTCCTCCTTAGTAAGGAAAGTTAAGATGAGAAAACAAAATTGTCAACACAGCATTCTGTTGGATATTGGTCTTGTTACTCTGAGTCTGAATGCTTTCTTTGGGTTATGATCTGAAAGAACAAACCCTCTAAATGAATAATTATTTCAACCAAGCATGGCAAATGCTGAGTCCCACATACCATTGTGTGTGGCTAATGCAAGCCCTGAAGTCCCAAAGCAAGCGCCTGTCACCAACTGAACTGACAACTGAGGCAAAGGGGCCCCAACAATGAGCGACATTAGAGGGCCTGACAGCAAGCTGGTCTAGAGGTCCAATCCCAGCCACAGATACTTTACTTAACAAACAACAGGACACTCTGTTAACAACATATACCCAACTCAGGCTACATGACTTTAAACCTATTTTAGGCACAAACCTTGTCATCTCTTATGTTTGGAAATGGCCCTGGGATTGTTGAGAGCTTTTAGATTCAGCCAGCTTTAGTAGGAGTTTTAACTTTACTAGTCGGGTTCCAATGCTTTAGCTAAGTGGTGACAGTGCCACAGATTATGG